TGGAGTTCAGACGTGTGCTCTTCCGATCTCTACATTCCCCCTACCCTTCCTCCTTGACCTACATTCTCCCCATCCTTCCTCCTTGACCTACATTCCTCCCACCCTTGACCTTGACCTACATTTGATGTAGAATCCCCCTAGTATACCTACTTGAATCGCGTATTTTATATTAATTCTTTTGAAACTCTTGTATGTAATACGGCATCTCATCGGACGTAAGGAGCATCGACGGCGAGAATTCAAGGCCACCGGCAAAGGAGAAGACCTTGGAGTACAGGCGACTCGGCACAGGAACCAAGGGGGTACGCACCGGGCATGGCGATCAGGCGACGAAGTGCGCACGAGTTGAGCACGTGGCCGCGCGCAAGGATTTACGGGTGCCGCCAGGGACGCGGCAAGGAAGGCTGGCGCAGGATCTGAGGCCCGCGAGGATCAACACGGCTGGCGATTTCCCCAGGGCCCGGGACCATTGCCGAAAGCTGCCGGGACGAGCTGGCCAAATTGTCCCGGATTGAAGGGCAAAGGACGCGCCCACCAGACGCCAAACCGTTGCATCCAGGAAGTCGGGCGGCCTCGCGAGGACCCCCGTGGAGCGTTGTGATTGGTCGCGATCGTATGCGCCGCTGTTGCGCAATCCCGGGCTGGGGGTACAGTCATCGATCGCGTATCAAACGCGATCTACGTCGCTTTTGCGTGCGAGCAGTTCTGGCGAGCGTACGGTCCGACGAACGAGCGATCAAGCAAGCGAGATTGAGAGCGAGGGAAACGAGAAGCTGTCGGCCCGTAGCCTTTTTCCTTAAGGAACGTCGAGCGGAAGATCGTGCCGGTGAGGTGACCCTCTGTTTTCAAGTGCTGTAAAGCCACGGGCAAGCCGAGGACCTCGACCGTACTCTGTGAACGGAAATGCCATTTTCGTGTTAGAGTTTCGTCACGTGCGCCCTTTCGGCGACGCATAGTTCGTAACGTTCTAGTGTCGGCGTCCGTCCTCAAGTGCGGGAGTTCTCCCGGATTCCTTCCGGATCTTGTCGTGAGCTGTCGAGAGTGCCGCGCATCGTGTGTCGAGCCACCCGGAGATCATCGCCGCGAGCGCGCCGCAAAGCCCTCGTACACGAGTGCGCGAGTCGTAGCGTAAGTACGCGTGTACTCGAATTCGTGATCAAGTAGCGTTTCGCGTATTGCACCCGTATGCGCGAATTCGTCGTGCATCAGCGTATGCAAGTTATTAATTGTTTCCGTTATTCCGTCCGTTGTACCCGCCTCTTACAGAGGCTATTTGTTTACTATTTGCGTGTACGGTACCCGCGTCATACCGAGATATTATTTCGCCGTATCCGAGTGTCGTATTGTCCCGAGCGCGTTTCTTTCCGTATGTCCAGTCACGTGTGACTTCGTACGACTTTACTTTGGCTGTGTTACGCGTCGTGAGATAGACTTTCGTTGTCCGGGCGTGCGAGCACGCTTACTCGTCACGCCGACGCAGTTATCGTCGTTTACGCGCGTGGTCTCAGACCGAGTGGTACAATTGCTTCCGTAACTTCTTTTGCGGTACCGGAATTTATTATTTCTTTTACATTGTCAGATTATCTCCGGTTCCATATCGCCAACTTTTTTATTTTTTTTTTTGCTTTCTACGAACTCTTTATGTTATAATTTATTAATTATATTTCTTTTCCTGACTGTTTCTTATTGCCATGCTACGCGTTCATTAAACAGTATTATTACTTTAATCTCGAGTACGAGTTCTTTCGCCCGTTCATCGCCATCCTATCGAAAGTAGCGTGAATCGCCCTTGGTTTCCACCCTGCTCCTCTGCCGTTAGGGCCGGCCGGCCCTCACGCAATCGACCTCAGGAGGAGCTCCAGGATTTGTTAACTTCGGGTAACGTCCAGCGTGTATGTGAATTTCTGCATTGTCGTATGTTTCGCGAGTGACGTCGCCATCGAGCACATCTGGCGCCCAACTTTAGTGTTGCAACTCCGTGTCGATTGCAGAAGGGACAGAATTAACAAGGCTAACATCCTCCTTCCCGAAAATCCTATTCTTTTTCCATTTTTGATCCGCGCCTGCACAAGCACGAGCTTGCCGAGCGCGTGACAATTTATAAAAAGAATTTTGAAAAAATGACTATCACACGACTTTGAGTTACAGAAAAAACAATAATATATCTTGATTTAGAATCGTTTCTTGTTAATCGTTTCAATGCACATTTAGGTAATTGAATATCAAAAGATGATGTTATGCAACTTATTAAGAGGATCCTGAAAGGTCGGCCAAATTTGTACAAGGTCGATAAAGCAGACTCTTCAGTGTCAGTGGCATCTCTAAATAAACTTTTTACAATATCTTCTGGTCTCACTCAAACACGTGGAATGTCCTTATTTAACTTATTAAAGTGCCATCTCTTGGAAAATCCGGCACTTACTATCAGACGGAATTTTTGCGTCGAATTACCACAAATTGCATTCTAATGAACAACTTTTTTTCTATGCTTCCAATCATAGCTCAAAAGGTCATGTATTACTCGTGCAAGTAATCCGATGCG